GCTTTTGAGTCACTCAAGAGCCTGTCGACACTGATGCGCTGACCATCGCCTCTCCGAGACAAGGATGCCAACAAGCTCCATCTCTTCAGGAAGTGAGATTTGCAATCCCCTCTTAGAAATACGAGCTACGTTTGGCGCTAAAATAATTGGAAATTTGTGCTCAGAATCAAGGAAACGCCATTTCTGAAGACCCTAATTTCAAAAATTTTCCGGGGGAGCATGCCCCCGGACCCCCTCGTAAAGAGTGCCTCCGGCGCTCGATTGTCAATCGGGCAAGCGATATACATTACAAACCTCTCTGTGCAAAAAGGCTGGCTACGCCCCTGCCTTGTTTAACCTATAGTTTCCTCATTTACAGACATTTAAATATACTTTCGTTAGAGTTACGTCAGTTACGTTTGTCAAGCAAACTGTATTGAAAGAAAGGAACTTGTTCATCTCACTTTTAAATTGAGCTCCTCTACAGTTTTTTCCACAAACACCCAATGCATGCTAAAGAACTTATTTTATAATATAAACCCACGGCTGAATAACTTGGAAGTTGACACTCTTTTCAGTTAAGTGATGGCCCTAGCTTATACAAACCTGCTTTAAATGAGGCCTTGAATCCTTTGTAGACAGTGGTAGCATTGCTATCACTCATGAACTGCACCCAAACTAAGTTCCCTGCACTCTGAATGGTGCTCGGCAAGGTACTGCCACACAGCCGTCCAGTCAGGATTGGGCCTTGATATTCCCCCATTTTAGGGTCGACTTCTCGGATCTCAAGGTAGTCGTATTTGCATTTCTCACTTTCCTCCAGTTCGAAAATATCGAAGTCTATCTGGACCTGCCGTCCTTCAGGGACAATTAAAACCCACTGTTGTTTGTAATTTTCAGGATAATTCTTGATACCAACTTTTGGTGTTCCAAAGTCAATGGTTTCGTCTTCGGTTGCATTTAGGTAGGATATTTTACCTCCTGTGTATGCAATGAAATAAGTTAGTCTAAGGGATTATTTAAACAACAGGTTGTTTTTGAAGTGTATTATCGTTTGTCATACGATTTAGTCACTTTAGATGTAGATCGCGACGTTTCGACTGCTTACTGCTAGTCTTCTTCGCCTGAAGAAGACTAGCAGTAAGCAGTCGAAAGGTCACGATCTACATCTAAAGTGACTACATCGTGTGACAAACGATAATACACTTTATTATTACATCTACCACGATGAATAACAACAACCTTTTCCTCGGCAGGTTGTTTTTGTTTGATGTTCTTAAAACAAATATTTATCCGAGAAGAGAAGCTTCCATGGCAAATATGCCAGTTTTAAGAATATCATTTTTCCGAGGGGCAACTATCAGACCGAGATTGTCTTTATTGTTCACCTCATGATTTTCTTACGCCCGTCAGTTCAAAAGTAACATTGAAATATTTTCAAATTTTTCGAATGAAAGGCGTGAAACCCAAATGTAAAATTTGAAAAAGAAAACAGACAAATTGTGTCTTTTAATGCAACTTTTTTTTGATACAAGCCCGCTAACTTACAGAAAAAGTTTCGCGGACGAGTACTATTCTTCCGGGTATTTTCCTCCGACGGGCACTATGGGACAGAAAGTAGGGAGTTTTAGCAATGACGACGGCGACGCTGAGGACGACGCCTTGTCAAAAAAAGTATTTATATTTTAACTTCGAATGTCGCAACTGCGTAGATCTGTACAGTACGCCTAATGGTCTAAATACCTGCTCAGGCTAAATATGTAGTGACAGTGTTCAATTCCAAAGGAGGACACGAAAAATTAGCCATTGCAGTACACGTACACGTAGAACTTGGTCATTTCACGTTGTTGTTTTGCAAAGGACGGTAAACAAATGTACAAAGATTTAAAACGCACGCGCAGAACGATTGTTTTGCTAAAACGCCCTAGTGTCTCTCCGCCGATGAAGACAATCGCATCACGTGATGAATTTAAAGTGATAAGAATCGGAGAAAATTAAGTAATGAACTCATAATGATCTCATAGACTCAGTTGGTTATTAAACTGTTTCCTTGGTTATACTTACACCAGTAATGACATTTATATAGCGCCAAACGCTAACGTTCCCAGGCAAATATTAAAAGCTGAAATCTCAGTTTGGTTAGAGGGACTGAGATATTGCAAATTAAAACTCAGTTCAAATGATTAATATACTAATGCAATAATAAGAAAGGAAAAAGAATAAAAGAAAAGATAAGATTGAAAATATATTCAATTTAAAAAGGGGGCAAATACATACTAATTTGCCCCCTGAGAAAATGGCAATTGATCGGCAAAATGGGCAGGTGCTAAACTACTATTTTTAGCAATAGAAAAAACGCTCATGGTTTTCCTAAGAAAGTGGCTACGCTGCATGCGTGCGGCCGCAATAATAAACCACAGCGGACACAACTGCGCATGTTCAGGATATTAACTACCGCAAAATTAGCCGCGACCAACCCATCCGATACATTGAAACATGCATAAAAGAAGACTGTCCGGCAGGTTATAATGCGCTGGCCTGCAAACGCAGACCTATTTCCGGCTGTCGCTTGTCTAGTTGATAGAGGGAAATGATTTGGAAGGCCGCTAAACATCAAAGAAGCAAACAAACAGAATACGATTTATGTTGGAAGGTCCTTGACACTGCACACCTTTTGTTTTATGAAAAACTAAATAAACTGCAAAGCCGTGAACGAAGATCCTACTTAATTGAACGTTGGATCTCACAGGAGATCTAATCAGGCAAAATTGAAAAGTAAAACGATGAGAAGTCAAGGACTACTGCAAGGCTGATACAACGTGGTGTATTTAAAACAATATTTCGGCTGGCCAGACAAGCCTTCTTCAGGTTTAGATGTTACTAAATTATAAAAATGAAATTACAATATTATATAGTGGTAGATGTCGTAACGACATCCACCACTATATAAGATTGTAATAAGCCCTTTGCACGGTCCGGTCACATGGTACGGAATTAATTATGCTGGGTCGCAAGTTACACAGTGGGACTTCCAAAACAAAGGAAAGTCGGGCTGGACTGGTACGAGTTTCCTTTGTTTTGGAAGTTCCACTGTGTAACTTGCTCCCCAGCATAATTAATTCCGTACCATGTGACCGGATCGTACAAAGGGCCTATTTGATTTTTATAATTTAGTAACATCTAAACCTGAAGAAGACTGGTCCGACCAGCCGAAATATTGCTTTAAATATACCACGTTGTATCAGCCTTGCAGTAGTCTTTGACTTTTCATCGTTTTACTTTTTGCTGTTTTATGTTTACTGACTACGCATGATTTCAGAAGACAATGAAGAAGAAGAAGAAGAAGAAGAAGAAGAAGACTTTATTCATTGAGGTTTAACACATAATAGTGGACAATCACTAACAAACTTGTTGGCCCCACCTTAGATAAATCTAATAATACAATATTAAATAGATCAGAACTGTAAAAACTAACTCTAACGAACATAAATAAAAAGCATCAGAAGCAATAAAGAAAATAAAACAAATGACTTAAAATGCTAAAATAGATAAAACAATATAACTGATCAAGTGAGGCAATAACCTCTGGTTGTCCAAAAAACGCTTCCTCGTTGCTTGTTTAAAAGCTTTAAGAGATGGTTTTCTTCTTAGGTCAGTAGGTAAGGCGTTCCACAACTGAGATGTGTTAACTGCAAAAGACTTTCCACCTTCCAATTTTCTTTTAAAACGAGGGGAAATAAAATTGAGTAGCTGCTATACCTAGTTGAACTTAAATGTCTATCACTATTAAGAAACAAACTACTAGTTAAAAAGTCTGGGACGCCATCGTTGATTCTTTTGCATAATCGCAATGCTTCTATTGGTTAGTTGTATGAGCACACATAACCACCTTTTGTATTCTGCCAGGTTTTGTGTAAGGTCAACCCCCAAAGTAGCCAACAGAAACTTACAACAAAGAACTTTGCTAGGTTTCCCAACCATTTCCCCCTATTAACTATGCTCTCGCAGGCTAATAATGCGCATGAGAAGACTAGTATTTGCTGACTATTTATTTGCAGATCACGTGGTTGGGCTCAACCAATAAAAAGGCAGCAAAATAGGCGTCGACTGAGAACAGCTTTTTTAAAAGCGCGCAAGTTTTGGTCCTTCATTTTGTATTAGGCACTATCCTAGACACTATTTATTCGATAAACTTACCGGCGTAAGATTGAGCGACAAAGGAGAGGTTAAATCCTTTGCGATGAACTGTGTCATCCGACACAAAACGGACGTACATCCTTGTTGCAGATTCAAAATCTCCCTTTGGATTTCGATATTCCAGATAGTTGTCGCTGAGTCGTTCACATGTTCCAGTGTTAGATGCCAGACTGCTGTACGTAGAAGATCGCACGATCTGGAGACCGTCGCACTCACAACCTTCGCATATTTCTATGTCAAGCCTTGGAACAAAAAATTAGAAAAACAAAACTGCCGTTAGCACACTATATTCCACCAGGCGAAAATCCATTTGAAGAAGAATGCACCGAAGGTCAGAAAGGATCAAGTTTCTAAGGGTAAAAATCGTTACTTATTTAATACATATTTCTGAAAAAAATAATGATCTGATAATAATAATAAAAATGGCTATTAGTGTTGTCATTAACTTAGATTTCAGGAAGTACGAGTACGAGATCGAGGACAAGAACGACTTTTTCAATTCTAGGTTTGCAGTCTTCACATTATCACATCACATACCCATCTCATTCCATGAGCTGCACTCTCTACCTAAAACCAACATGAAGAGCGAGGGCTCTGGAAACGTCACTGGTTTGAAACACAAGTCGGAGATCCATGGTACTCGTTATGCACTATCGTTCCACGATTTTTTAAGACGTTCAGGGCTGAGATTTTTGTGGCTCGATCAGAAACGAAAGTACTTATCATAAAAATAAAGTATTCTAAGAAGATATTCCTTAAACCAAAATAAAAATAATATCAGGCCAAATTAAACGGTACCCCAGGAAAACGTACCTGTTAAAAAAATAATAAATGCCTTGATAAGTGTCGGGAACTTCAATCCCCCAACACTTTGTCTCGTTTATACCATAATCGCCTGAGCTGGGGTATGCCAGTACACCACTTGAAGCTGTTATATTTTTAATACCACTGGGACAAACTGTAAACAACAGACAAGGAGAAAACGTTATTATTCTCAGTCATTGCATAATCTGTTTTAATCTTTACCTTATTGACTTCCACCAGTAACAGGAGTAATCCCCCATAAAGGCTTTATTCTCAAGGTAATCTCTCTCAAATTATTAACTTCAACAGACTTCGAAGCCCTTTTGTAAACATAGGTGTGACGTCAGGACAGTCACCCTAGATGATCTAGGATTGAACTTCTTCAGAAAAGGCCAATAAATATTACAGCTACAGTTGGATTGGAAATTTCCTTTTGGAGGTTAAGAAATTTCAGATTATAGTATTCTTGGAAGGATAATTGCTGGGTTCAAATAATATCGTTGCGTTAGTGCTAAGGATACGGATAAGGCCAAATAAGGTAAGCTTTTTTAAGGAGCTCAGTCACGGCATTCTGAGTTATCGGCCACGGAGAATTACCTTTTAATTAAAGGAAGCCTGAACATAGTTGTTTGCCAAGATAGAAAAACACCAAGGAGATAAAGCTTAATCATAATTAGGAACAAGGATGGTTAAGGATGGAGAAGACTGACACGGATTACAAACGACGAACGTGAAGAATTTGGGCTAAATTAACGTTTCAAAATGACTGAAATGAACAAACAGGGACGTATCTCCTTCAACAACGACGGTACGACGGCACGACGTACGACGGTACGACGGTGCGGATCAAGTGCAAGATTCATTACTTACTTGAGTCGCAAGCTCCCTTCTCAATATGGAGGAGCACCACAACTGCGATACAAAGACAACAATAAACTGGTCATAACTGACATATTACATAATATTGTTAAACTAGTGGTAATCAAAGATTATGAGTGCGTTCGATGCCTAACATTAATATCTATGCCTTAAATGATTTCACTAGATGACTTTCAACCTCTGTCTATTGCTAAAATCAACATGTTTCATGAGCAACTGAGGTTTTACAGATAGATGTATCATAGTGTCAAAGTCCATGCCAATGAAGAGGTCCCCTGCCACGATTTGTTGATACGTTGCGTGACGGCGCCAGTTTCCGTGGACTCACAAGAATATTTACATTATTTCGAGGTAAATATTTTCACACAAACTGATAATGTTTAAGCGTAAAAGCTAATTTGTAAAAGCTTATATTTTTTACGTACATTATTCTAAGCTGGAAACCCAAATACGAAAACCACGAGATGCGCGATAGTCTTTGTGCATATCACGTATGATATATGACGTCATTCAAAATGGCGCAGAAAATGCAGACGTTTGACGAAAAAGTTTCAAAAGAAGTCACCCTTGAAACCACAGGACACCCAAGATTATGAACTGCGTTCTCCGAACGCAATAACTAATTGAAGTGTTCAAATTAATATTCTTCACCTTATCCTTCTGTGTGCTTTATTGTGCTTAATTATTGACATTTACCAAGGGTAAGAAATTGGCAATATCTAAAGCCATCAATCAAAATTTGCATAATAGATCTGAAGAGCTAAAAGAGAGGTAATTCAAGCGATTGCTTTAGGGAGATGGAAGAACTGCCGCCCAAAATAATAGGGAAAAGCGACACCAATCTTCCCCAGCGGACGTTTGCATCGTTTCTCCTGACACAAAAATGCTATTTGAAATTAAGAGTGAATGCCTATAAAAATCGACCTAAATCCCCTATCAATGGCACAAGTCGAAAAATTGATTTCGCTTGTATTTTGCCCATAGATAGGTCCTAGTAAGAAAAGAAACGGACCATAGTTAGTTTCTGCTAATACAGCTTTCTTTGGTAAAAATATGTCAAAAACGATTTCGCCCCGATTGGGCTCAAAACCTACTTTCGGTTTTGCTGAATTTTCCGAATATTTGATTGCTTCGCGCTTCGCAGAACAGCTACTTGAGAATCTTTCAATGGATTTTATATTTAGTTCAG